CTGGTCCCCAAATAATTTTGTCAAAGTTTCCATGTTTCGCTGCTATTCCGAATTTATCTCTGTCTTTTTGGAATCTTGAGTTGATCCGAATATAGTTCCACCAATCCACACTAAAGCCCTGATCCCTCAATAGCTCCAGCGATTTAAGTTTCCCTTCTTCATTGAGGATGTCCTTATATGTACCCCATTTATAATCATCTCTCCTGTTTGGAGTCGCCAACGATTCCATAATAGAAAGCCAAATGGGTACCTTAGAATAGATCTTCTGTCTAATTTCGTCCCACGTACGAATGAGGGTCTCCCTGATTTTGTGTTTATGGAAATAGGATTTTTTCTTATTCTTTATATCCCAGAGATGGGAGTGCCATCCTTCTAGGAGGTCATGTCCTTCCAAGATCAGGGTTCTCCTATCCTGTAACTTGATCCACTCCTTGATCCAAATTAATTTTGCGGCCTTTTGATATAATTCCCAGTCAGGGAGCCCAAAGCCTCCCAAATTCCTTTTCCCTTGGAGTATCTTAAAAGAAATCCTCGATTTCTTACCCTCCCACAAAAAGTTCCTGATGTATTTGTTCAGTTCCAAAAAGAATTTTTTGTCTAGTGATAGCGGAATGTTTTGAAAAAGAAAGAGAATTTTTGGTAAGATGTTCTTTTGATCGCTGCAATTTTACCCATCAGAGACAATTTGAGCTTTTTCCATCTTTCTAGGTCTTGGTGTGTTTTATGTAGAAGGGGAATATAATTATCCTCTTTTAGTGAGGAGAATCTCGCGGTAATCCATATTCCCAGGTATTTTATTTTCCTAACTGTCTGGAGGCCTAATGATTCTTCCAATTCTTCCTTTTGTAGATCTGTCATGTTTTTCACAATCATTTTAGTTTTGTTCTTATTAAGTTTTAGGCCCGCCACTTCTCCATACTCCTGGATTTCCTGCAATAATTTTACACCAGATTCTAATGGGTCTTCCATTATGAGGGCTACGTCGTCCGCGAAAGCTTGGGTTTTAAAGGTTTCGTTCCTAATCTTTAATCCTTTAATCTCTTTGTTGGCTCTTATCTTTCTAAGTAGCACCTCTAGTGCCAAGATATATAGTAAGGGAGATAAAGGGCATCCCTGCCTCACTCCTTTTTGAATCTGAAACAGCTGGGTTCTATCTCCATTCACTAGTATGTTTGCCCTCTGGTTTTTATATATGTTCTCAATCATCTTCCTAAAGTTGGTACCGAATCCCATTAGATCAATTTGATTTATCATGAAGGTCCAATTCAAGTTATCAAATGCCTTTTGGGCATCAACAAACATTAAAGCCAGCTGTTTTCGGGATGTTGTTCGTAATATTCAAAGGTGTTTAAGACTATCCTCAAGTTGTCTCTGATCTGTCTCCCTGGGAGAAAGCCATTTTGGTCTTTATGAATCCACAGATTTAAAATTTTTTTGAACCTCTCTGCAATTATATTCATGAACAGTTTATAATCTGCGTTCAGCAATGAGATAGGTCTGTAGTTGGATATCTGTTTCGGATCGGCACCTTCTTTCAGTATAAGCGTCAAATACGCTTCCCTCCACGAATCTGGGATTGTGATACCCGCCAGGGCCTCATTTAATATTTCTAACAGCTCTAATTTTAAGGTATCATCAAATTTTTGGTATATTTCCCCGGGGAGACCATCTGGGCCTGGAGTTTTATTCTTCTTTATTTTAGAAAGGGCCGTTTTTAGTTCCTCTATAGTAATCTTTTCATTTAACCTTTCCTTTTCTTCTTCAGAAATTAGCGGTAGTTTAGCTGCCCACAAATACTGTTCTACCTTGCTTGTCGCTATTCCTTCATTTTTGTATAAATCTTCGTAAAACTTTCTTATACTCTCTAATTTATCTTCTTCCTTCGTCAGCAAGTTGCCCTGAGAGTCTTCTAATACTAGTATTTGGTTTTTTTCCTTCTCTTTTTTTAGTTTATACGCCAGCCATCTCCCCGACTTGTTAGCGTTTTCAAAACAATAGTGCTTGGATCTTTTTATTTTCTGTGCCATTTCCTCCTGGTCCAATAAGTTCAATCTATGTCTCGTCATCAACCACTGTTGTTTGGACGCCTCATCTCCCGGGCATTGCTGGAGTTTATCTTCTGCTTGCAATAACTTATTAGTGAGCATTAAAATTATTTATTTTCATCGGGTTTCCTCTCAATCATTTTTTCTCAGCTAAAGAGTCCCAAACTTTTTCTCAGCTAAAGTGTTTCTTACACTTGAGTCGCTATTCTTTTTGTTGTCCTCTTCTGCACTTTTTCCAGATCTATTTTAAGCCTATCAATCAAAATTCTAGTAGATACTTTGGTTACCAATACACTAAATATATACATATATATTATGAGGGCATGACAATGTTAGTCCTTTGATTCATAATCCCTTTCCTAATGATCACTAGAATAGAACTTCTTTATATCTGCTGCACATCTTCATAGAAGTATCCACTATGACCCTTTCCTTGGTTAGTTATAAACAGTCCATACTGGGTTTTCCTCCATTTGTTTAAATTAAATCATTTTTGCAATTTGCTTGACCATAAGCTAGTTTAAAGACATCTTTCTTAAACGCTTCACAATCATTTTTGGTTTTCATCATCCTGGATAATTTGCTATTATCTGCAGACTTGGCCAACTTACTCCTAAATTAAAACAATCAGAGAACATATTAAAAAGGCTAGTTCTAATATAGAATATTGAGGGTCTCTATTTCTTGCTTTTTGTTTTTTTTATTTCCGCTTTGTTTTAGACTTTAGCATTTCATAAAAAGACAGTTCTTCTTACAACACAAATGCTAACTTTGCTGAAGAACCTTTGAAAGGGAACTTTATTAAGGCTCTTAAAGTCCAAATTCAAGAGGCCCATTTGTATACTTAAAAATAATTGCACGAATCAAACACCCAATGTATTTTATAAACATCTAAAATAATTTATTTTAAATTGTTATATTAAAAACTACAGTTGGGAAATTGTGTTCTAGCAGTGCTATTTATGGCTAATTAGTTTCATTCAGAAGTTTTAAGGAAAGATAAATATGCAGCTGGGAATATAATGCAGTTGAGGATTATGGACTTCATTTCAAGCTTTGCAAATCACTGACAATTCTATAACAGTAGATGCAACACATGTTTAAAACCTCCAAAGGAAGGAAAAAAGGAGCCAGTTTGGTCATAGTGGTGAAGGTGCTGGCCTAGAAACCATGAAGCTGTGAATTCTAGTCTCTCCTTAGCCACGAAAACCAGCTGGGTGACTTTGGACCAGTCACTCTTTCTCAGCCCAACTTATCTCACAGGACTGTTGTGGGGAAAAAGAGAAGGATAGAACATAACACAACACAATACAAGGAGAGAATGTGTGCTCTATGGCATGGAAGTGGAATAGTGAGGGTGGAGGACCAAAAGGTAAAAGAAAAGATAGGCAGTTTTATTATGGCCCTGATAGAGAAAGAAAGAGATTTATTAAATTCATATGCTGTCCATCTCACTATCCAGAGTGATTCTGAGTAGTTTACAATAACCAATGGTGGGAAGCTGAGGACTGGCCACTCAGATGGAGGCTGAGAGCCAGAGTCAAGACCTGTCCTGGCCTCCAGTCCTCAGGCAATATCCCTGAAGTCATGCCTTCAGATTCTTTGTGGTCCTGGGCTGTTACTGAATGGAAAAATGTTATGTAATAAGACAATGTTTTAATTGTGGATAAGGCAACTAATCTGGCAGGTAAAACTGAGGCCTGGGTGGGTCTGAAGGAGAGGTTTCACTTCTTGGAGATATGCCTTTAGGTTTCACACAAGCTGCAAACCCAAGGCAACGGGGTGGGGAGGCCCTTCTCATTTATAGGAACAATGGTTTTCAGAGGCTGTGGGTTTCAGACAACTGGATATGAGAGCATCTGGTTTAAGATGAGCTCTAGGAAGCAGTTGGGCTTCTTTCTACTATACTGGACTCCTTTTTATTCAATGACATTCCTTCCTGAGCTGCTAAATTCCATCACCCAGGGTGGCAGGTGTATCTTTTAATTTTGAGGAAATTTCAATTTGCCCCAGATGGTATGGGAGAATTTATGACATCCATGGCAACTGTAAGCCCAAACCAAGTTTCTGAGAATTGGATGTACACCAGAGGTCACACATTGGACCTGCAAAATGATCTGATGGGAAGATACCATCATCTTCACTCACCCAATTTTGAAGTTCCAGTTTTGTGGAAAACACATGAGAGGGGATAAAGTGGGTGAAGGGAGAGACTGTCCTGTGAATAAATACTCGAATTTCACTCTGCCTTATTGCATTCTTATTATTATTATTGTTATTATTATTAAATGTATTTGCTGCCTATCTCACCATGGGGCTACTCTAGGCAGAAATTGGTTTCCAAATATTATTCTGCATCAAGAAGATTGTTCTTATTATAATCTAATAAAGACAGAAAAAAGTCCAGCCCCTATGGATGCCACTATCCACTTTATATAGCATCAGTTTGTTCCAGTTTGCAAATCCAGTACACAATCTGGATCAAAAGATTATGTTTGGATAATGTACATGCATTTCCCCCTAGATGGTCTTTCCTGTGTGTGTAAAAAATACAGCGTCAAAATTCAGTATGTAAATCAAGTTGTAATAATATCATCTCTTCTGTTAATACCTCTGCTACTATAAATAAGGAAGATGCGGCTAAATCAGTAGCACTTTCCTTCTATTTTGAATAGCGACAAGGTCAAAGATGGAGCATCTTCAGCAAAATAAGCACAGCAGGCTTCTACAGTCACTAGAATTTCTTCAAGAAAGTCTAGAATCATTCCTCCCCAAGATGTTCATCAGTTATTTGTTATCTATAATATTTATTAAAACCAATCAATAAGTCCATTTTCATTCAAAATAATTTCTATAGTATTTAACTGTACTGTTCAAGAGAACACAATTTTGCATTAACAATTTTGCTTTAAAGTTGTCTGCTCCTGCATTTTCTAATATCTCACATTCATTTAGTCCTGTTCCCAATATCACTTGGAAGAGATCTGATGGTATTCCATTAGCCAGAAAAATCAGCACATCTAAAGGAATCCTTGAAATCCCAGATTTTCAGCAGGAAGATGAAGGTTTTTATGAATGTATTGCAAGAAATGTACAGGGAAGCAATATTGCACGGGGCCATCTGTTTACATATGGTGAGCAAACTAAGTTGGTTAAAAGCACAATGCTAGTTATGTTTGGGAGGGGGGATATTTAAATATTTATTTCACAGGAGTGAAATACTTGAGCTCATTAAAATGATTGGAGAGTTGAAACTTAAAATCTATTTTAGACTGTCTATCATTGAAGATTAGGAAAATAAGGGTTAATATAAAAAGGTTCACTTTAAAGAACTCAGATATTTTACTATTTGAATCTACTGCTCTGGACAAATAGCATTATGTAATATGTTTGGATTCTCATTTCTCTCTAACCCGTAGTTTGTTTAACAATGACTTACTGAAACAATAGCTGAATTCATGCAACACACTAAATCAAAAGGAGGATATGTTTAGATTGTCATAATGTTTGAAAACTTGCAATATTTCAGTGGTCAGTATTTCAGATTAGGATGATTAGATCAAAGCCAGAATGATGGATGTATCAGATGCAATAGATTGAGAAAAGGACAGAAATGTTAGCAGAGTCACAGAAAGAAAAATCTATTTTTATATTCAAATTGTGGAGTTTCATATACAAATAACCTCCTTAAAATGTATGTGGCTGGGGGTGGGGGTTTGAAAAAAAAATACATATGTTAAAGTCAGTTTATGTTTTTGATTGATTACACTGCCAAAACCTTGGGATAATTTACACTAAAACAGTTACAATTTTTTTTTTATTGCTACAGCTGTTCCAGAATGGAACAAAAACATTGAGAATACACAACTGTCTCTTTATGAAACTTTAGTTTGGGAATGTGAAGCAACTGGCAAACCAAAACCTTCATATAATTGGTTTAAAAATGGTAAACCACTTACATCAGAGGTAAGATTTGCATTAGATTTGGATTCATTTGAAAATCAGCATTTGATTTTAGATGCTTTTATCTTTTAACTCGTAACTACAGCTATAGTGCTAAACAAGATGCATCTCCACCTATTTGTTTGTTCAAATAAATATGTTAATTCTACCAGAAGCTCAGCCCTTCTTTTAGTGCTCTTAAAAAACAACAACATCTTGCTACAATAAGCTAAGTGATCCTGGTTTCTTTTGAGGCAAGCACTAAATAGGAAAAAAGACCAGGATTTGTTTTTAAAAAATTAAGCCATCAGCCCATCTTGTGATAATAAGTTTTCTAATATAGTTATGCACCATATGAAAAAGTAAGGATCATGTAATGTATGAGTGTAGCCAGTGGTGAAATCCAATTTTTTTTACTACCAGTTCTGTGGGCTTAGCTTGGTGGGTGTGGTGTGACTTTGTAGGCATGGCAAGGGAAGGATACTACAAAATCTCCATTCCCATCTCACGCCAGGGGAAGGATACTACAAAATCCCCATTCCCTCCCCACTCCTGGGGGAAGGATATTGCAAAATCTCCATTTCCACCCCACTCTGGGGCCAGCCAGAAGTGGTATTTGCCTGTTCTCCGAACTGCTCAAAATTTCTGCTACTGATGCTCCAGAACCTGTCAGAACCTGCTGGATTTCACCCCTGATTGTAGCACAACTAAGAAAACTTCTCCTAAGTGTCTTCATAATGGTATGGATTTCTGCACGAAGGAAACTTTTAATTTACATTGTCCTACGGAGACTTCTATGCTGTTCAGAATTCCTGAAAACATGGAATTCTGGTTTGTATGGAAACATCACACATATTCCACCCCCTGCAGAGATTTCTGGATAAATAATTATGTCTGACCCATCAGACAGACAGATCCATATGTCTATTATACAATGTCGAATTCATATTTTGAAGCCTAAATTAAATATATGAAGTTAATTAGTTTATAATAAATAATAATAAATTAATTAATTAATAATTAATTAATTAATAATTAATATATGAAGAACATACTTTTTAAATCTATACAAATTAATTTCCATCTGTGATTCGGTGGTTTTAGCATTATGTGGATATATGATCCAACTCTCACCATCTTTTCAGTAACAGAATAATAAAATATTTTTTTTTATTTTTTTTTATTTGATTTATATGCCGCCCTTCTCCGGAGACTCAGGGCGGCTTACAATGCGTTAAGCAATAGCCTTCATACTTTTGTATATTTATACAAAGTCAGCTTATTGCCCCCACAAACTGGGTCCTCAATTTACCTACCTTAGAAAGGATGGAAGGCTGAGTCAACCTTGAGCCTGGTGAGATTCGAACTTACAGTAATTGCAGACAGCTGGTGTTAATCACAATGCTTTCAGTCTGCTGAGCCACCAGGCCCTTTCTTATTTTAGGTTTGTTGTGTATCTACTTTTGTTGGTTCAGATATCCTGAACTTGTTTTGTTCATCTGCCAATTGTTTTTAGTCCTGTGTGTATTTATTCACTAAACTGTTGTTGTTTTTTTTAGCTCAAAAGAAAGATTGGGAGGTTGACTTTCACATGATAAGAAATGCCAGAATTAAATATTCTGATATGTCAATATGTGTGAGAGAAGGGAATTTATTCTAAGGATATTTTAAACTTGAAGGTAGACTAAAGCACTGAGAAAATATTTAGTAAATAGCCTATTCTCTAACACTAAAAACTACTGAAGTGATGTTAATTAGTTTTTCTATAGTAGCCATGCAACCAGAGGGTGAATTCCCATCAAAATGACAAGCTAAGCAAAATTGGAATGGGTCAGTTCTAAGGGGATAATTCTATAAAGGATTTAGTGCCAACTAAAGGATTTAGGGCCTGGTGGCTCAGCAGACTAAAAGCATTGTGATTAACACCAGCTGTCTGCAATTACTGTAAGTTTGAATTTCACCAGGCTCAAGGTTGACTCAGCTTTCCATCCTTTCTAAGGTAGGTAAAATGAGGACCCAGTTTGTGGGGGCAATAAGCTGACTTTGTATAAATATACAAAAGTATGAAGGCTATTGCTTAATGCATTGTAAGCCGCCCTGAGTCTCCAGAGAAGGGTGGCATATAAATCAAATTAAAAAAAAAAAAAAGCTAAATTATTTTTAAAAGGGCCTTGATGGTACTATTATCTTCACAAAGGATATGACAACTGGACGCAATTGACTTTGTTTAAAATAATTATACATTTACTTGTAAAGCATAGACCCAGAATTAGGGACCATATAATGATCATTAAGAGAACTTGGACATGAAATCTAGACTTATTCACTGAATGGAAAAGGATGGGTGAACATGATTTATTTATCATTTTTTTACAGCTGGGCATCTCACAAGAAAATGATTCTGGGTGGCATAGGACACAATTTAAAAACAATAAATATGTATAAAACAGTCACAATTAAATATCACAATAAAAGAGCCTTGATAGTACAGGGGTTTAGTGCACCCTGTAATTAACACAGCTGCCTGCAATTTCTGCTGGTTCGAATCTCTCCAAGGCTCAAGGTTGACTCAGCCTTCCATCCTTTCTAAGGTAGGTGAAATGAGGACCCAGTTTGTGGGGGCAATAAGCTGACTTTGTATAAAACATACAAAAGAATGAAGGCTATTGCTTAACGCATTGTAAGCCGCCCTGAGTCTCCGGAGAAGGGCGGCATATAAATCAAATTTAAAAAAAAAAAAAGAAGCACACAAAATAGGAGACAATCATATTAACCGCCACAAGGGAGCCAATACAAAATCTTCCTGGTTCTCTAGGACCCGCAGGTCAGGTTTTAGAAATTTATGGAATATTGAGAGAAATGGAGCTACTCTCACTTTTGGGAGAAGATTTCATAATGTGGGAACCACAAAAGAGGGCCCACCTGGCAGATGGGATCCACCATGTGCCTTCTCTGCAAGAGTTGATGAACAGATAGTTGTAATTGGAGGTGGTCCCTCAGATAACCATGAAGGGTTTTAAAGGTCAAAAACAATATCAGGCAAATTAGCAAGCAATGCAGCTCATGGAGCAAAGGTTGTAATGTTTAGGGGCACACATGAAGTTGGAAAATTTGAAATGCTTCCTTCCCATTCAAACAGATGAGTCTGTCATCTGCACCTCCATAACTGTCTGGTTTGGTTCTGCAACCCAACAAGACAAACACAGACTTCAGGGGATAATTAGAATTGCAGAAAAAATAATTACTACCAACCTGCCTTCCATTGAGGACCTGTATACTGCATGCACAAGTCAAAAAGAGGGCTGTGAAAATATTTACAGACCCTTCGCATCCTAGACATAAACTGTTTCAACTCCTACCCTCAAAATGACACTATAGAGCACTGCACATCAGAACAACTAGAGACAAGAACAGTTTTTTCCTGAAAGCCATCACTCTGATAAACAAATCATTCCCTCAACACTATCAAACTAGTTATTAAGTCTGCATTACTATTAATCTTCTCATCGTTCCTATCACCCATCTCCTCCCACTTATGACTGTATGACTGTAACCTTGTTGCTGGTATCCGTACAATTTATATTGACTGTTTCCTAATATGATTTGATTGCTTATTTGTTTCCTATGACTATCATTAAGTGTTGTACCTTATGATTCTTGACAAATGTATCTTTTCTTTTATGTACACTGAGAACCGATGCACCAAAGACAAATTCCTTGTGTGTCCAATAAAGAATTCTATTCTATTCTATTCTAAACAGAGACCACTTTTAACATGTATTTTATTAGTCATTCAATGATTTATATGGCTGCCCATCTTACAGACAAATTCTGGGCAGCTAACAACAATCCACAAAAGTTATATCATAAAAGATCTGTCAACAACAACGCAGGCATTGGACTAATTTGCTTTTGTACTTTCTTATTTATATGGCTTTTTTATTTTTGTAGGAAAGAATTCAAATTGAAAATGGCACTCTTACTATAAGTATGCTGAACATGTCAGATTCTGGTCTCTATCAGTGTGTTGCAGAAAACAATTATGATTCCATTTATTCCAATGCTGAGCTAAGAGTCCTGGGTAAGTTTAAAGCTGAAAAAAGATAAATAGGACAATAGAGATTTAAACAAGTAACATTTCTTAAAAATTGATTAGAAAGACAGTCTTAAAGAAGAAAATGCATGCATGTCATAAGGAAAAAAGAAGTATTTGTAGTGCTCTATTCAAAAATAAAAATAATTGAATTTAGTGGATCTTGCTCCCAGTTAATATGTGTACGATTGCAGCCCCGTTCATTTCTAAGAAATGTCAAAATATTCTTTAGAGGACATATGTTTTGGGGATCCAGGATTATATTTTAACTAGATATTTTGTAAGGAAAACATACCCTATATGCTGTAAACTAGAGAAGTGTACATGTTAATCCAAATTATTGATTTAGTGCTCTTTTTTTTACTTGAAGTTTTTTATTTTTTAGAAACATATTAATGTGTGAACAGTGTGGCATCATACATTTTGATACAAAGCGGAGCGTCATACATTTTGATACAAATAAAATCGTATTAATTATATTTGTTTCATTTAACAATCTTATATAATTCTAGTAATAATATACTGTACATATTTTTATTAAATTATAATCTTTCATTATTTAGTTATTCAATATTTCCATGTGTCATTTTTTGCTAATCCCCCTATTCTAAGTGTCATACCTTTTAATACAAATAGAGTATTATTAATCATATTTATTACATTTAACAAATTTATATAATTCTAATAATAATACAAATTTTTATGTTAAATTAAAATCTTCCATTATTTGCTTGTTCAACGTATAATCCTTCATTATTTAATTATTTAGTTATTCAATATTTCAAATATGTTATTTTTATGTCAATTGCCTTATTCAAATTATTGATTTAGTGCTCTTAATATGGATCTTTTTAATATGTTTTATAAGTTCCTTTTATGAAATCATGGAGAGCCGCTAAAGGCCACCCCCAACACTTTTGATGGGATCATATATGACTTGGAGCTTCAGGTTTTGTTCCACAGCTCAAAGTTGTTTCAATTGATTGATTGATTGATTGATTGATTATTTATAGCTTCAGCTCCTGATTTTTCTAAACATCCCATGAAAAAAACATCAGTTGTCCATGTGGGAGGTGAAGTAACTATTGGATGCAAACCCAGTGCCTCTCCCAAGGCTGTTATTAATTGGGAAAAAGGCACTGAACCTCTACAGCAAGGTAAAAGGTATGCCTATATATAGGTATGCCTCTATATTTTACTTTTTATGTGGATAGCATTGCAACCTTTACGTGTCAAATCTTAACAGGGCCCAAATATATAAATATATATAAATTGCTTTTTAGGTTCTACTGAATTTCAAATGTAGGGCTGTCGTTGTTCATAACCAAACCATCCGTAACTGTATTTAGGGTCATGGAACCCATTTGGCAACCATGGGCAACTACAAGAAGGAGGTTTTGGAAAGTCCAAAACAGGCCTCATAGCATCATAATGGATCAAATATGCTCAGTGTCTTAAGGGCAGGAGTGCTATTCAGCAGGTTCTGACAGGTTCTGGAGAACCCGTAGCGGAAATTTTGAGTAGTTTGGAGAACCAGCAAATACCATCTCTGGCTGGCCCCAGAGTGGGTTGGGAATGGAGATTTTGCAATATCCTTCCCCTAGGAGTTGGGAGGGAATGGGGATTTTGCAATATCCTTCCCCTGGAGTGGGGAGGGAATGGGGATTTTGCAGTATCCTTCCCCTGGAGTGGGGTGGGAATGGAGATTTTGCAGTATCCTTCCCCTGCCACGCCCACCAAGCCAACCCAGCAAGCCACACAACACCCACCAAGCCACGCCCACAGAACCGGTAGTAAAAAAAATGAATTCCAACACTGCTTCAAGGGCTTAATAAAAAAGGTCAGAGTCTCTTGATCTTTACATCAGTCTATGTTTTTCTAGCACTGCTAGAAAGGAGTGCTTTATCTGTTGGTTATCTGCCTGTTCTGTACTTGGTGAAATGTCACTTTGTTCTCTACATGCCACTTTATTGGTTCAGTCTGGACTGAAAGGCAACAAGCTCATCAAGGCTATCAGGGTGACAGATATTCTGAAGGTATTTATGACTCATCCAAGATTATGGATCTAAATTAAATCCAGTGGAATTTAAATCAATAGAAATAAAATGTGCCTCTAATTGCAGCCTTAGCGTGCCTTTAACTAATTCACCAGTAGTACCCATTTGCTTCACACTCCCCAGGAACAAATGCTAATTCCACACTTGCTTCATAATGGTATAATTATTACATTCGATTACTTCACTTCTGTGAGAGCTGTAAAACAGAAGAATGAGGAGAGGGCCCGTGAATAATTTGAGTGCAGAAGTCCCAAATAAGGAAGAATAAATTTTAAGTGCAGGGCTAGGACAGGGAATAGATGTTTAACTGACACATATTGTTCCTGTTTAAACCATTTGTGTGAAGCAAAGTATTTTGCTGTGTTTTTGTTGTTGTTGTGTTGTGTTGTTTTTGTTTTGTTTTTGTTTTTCCACCAACCTTGGGTATTAGGCATGCTATTTTTGAGGAGACAAGAAGATAATGCCAATCACTGCTATATCTTGAGCTGCAAAGTATTTGATCCTGTCCTGGTGGAAATAGGAGGTGGATACTTTAAATTTAAAATAAACATTCAGCTTGGTTTCTTTAAGAAATACTCATCTCATTTATTAACCTAAGAAGTTGCCTGATTGACAGGCCCACCAAGCTGGGATTTAGTATCATGAAAAAGAGAGAATAAACAAATGCTGATGCACAACAACAAATGATTAATTGGCCTTGGAGAAAATGAAACCTGAATGTAAAATGTATTGATGTAAAACTCATGAGAAAACAGAGCTGAATTTTGAGTTCTCTGTGGATGGTGCTATCCAGTGCTTGTTTTTGCCATTTTACTTTATATTGTTGCTATACAAAATCTGAAGATGAAATATTGATGATTGTAAACTCAAAATTGCAAATGTGATCAAAATAACAGAAAGGCTTAGTATATTTTAGTAGATTTTATAAATGAAAAGCTGTTTATAGAACTAAAGGCTGTTGAATACATGATAAACATTTAATGTCCTCATTTCCATTTTGTTGGCTTTTCCCATTTTTTAAAATTTTGGCTTGGGAACTGGGATTTTTTAAAAAGTAAAATTGTTTTTATTAATTCATTTTGAAACAGTTATACATAAAATAAAAATGAACAATTTGCCACATGCAAAAAATAAATAAATAAAAGTACCATACAAGTAAACACATCTAAGAATCTGTAATTACAACTATATTCCAAGTTTGCCTAATTGTAAATCATTAAAAGGGGAAACTACAGTTACAATGTTCACCAAGAATATTCTCCAAAGGGAGACATAAAGTGACATTTTCTGATTAGTAGAACATATAGTTTCCTCAAGAAATGCTAAACCACGTCTATATGAATTCCAATACACTCCTTGTAGAACTTTAGTATTTTTTCATCTTCTAGAGATTATTCTTTTTGCTGTTGTTAGAGCATGTTCCAAGTCACTTTCTTCCATTGTACATTATGCTTTACGTTTTGAGATAGAAGAAATGGTGGAGAAATATGGCTGAATATAAAACTGGATTTTCTATAGTGCTAATTTTTCTGCATTAATTAGTACTTTAAAACACGTTGAACCCATTTTAAAATCCATTCATACATTTTTCAACTGATGTTTTTAAAATGGTAAGTTAAATTGACTTTATTATGAAAACATCCTTTCTAATATTGACATCTCTTTTTTCACTCTTTCTCTTTTGATCCTTTTAGTCTAGTAGCATATATATTTGTAGCAGCTCCTATACGTAGACCTCCTTTCTCTATTCTCAGCAGAAAGTTCTTTTCCAATTCTAGATTTTTGAAGTATCGATTGACTTTAGGCTTAGGATCATGGCCATTTGTGTTACATTGAGAAGATTCAGGGACAAGAGAAAATTAATGCAAACCGGTATCTTTTGTTGATGACATGCTGATATTAACTAATATAACTTACTAGTGGACCAATGGGATTGATTTTTCATCTAACTTTAATTAATCTCTGCAGCTGTATTTCTAATTAAAGACTGAAATGACAGAAATCAAAGCCATAGATTTCCCTTCATGCTTCAAGTCATCACATATTGCATCATGCACTGAGATATATGCAAAATTTTAGACTATTCAGCAGAATCAATTTCTGTTTCTAACTGCTTCTCTGGCCAGCTGAAAATTAACACTATGTTGTACTAGTAGACACAACGCTGTAGTTCTATACTTCTTAAGATTGTAAACACAATTTAAAACTGTGGTTTACCCAGTAGCAAAACAGCAACTTTAGGTACAAATTATTATTATTATTTTTTAAATTTGATTTTTATTATAACATATAGTGATACAATCGGTACATTTTAATGTAAACAACACAATGTGAATTAATGATTGGAACTATCGTTCCAAATTACTATTTATTGTTTAGCTTTGTATACCATCTTTCCTTCAGGAGCTCAGGATGACATACATAGCACAACTCTGGGAAGCACCCAAAACTCCAGGAGGCAAGCTATTTATTGCTCTCACTTCCAGAAAATTTTTCCCTCAGGTGCTTTGGAGAATAAGTCAATCCCCTCTTCTCTGTGACAGCCTCTGAAGTACTTAAAGACAGTTGTCATTATTCGTCTAATCCTTCTCTTCAACAAGCTAAACTCGCTTCATCACGGCAGCGTCACGTGATGTATTGGGACTTTTTCCCCCTTCGCTAAACTGGGCGTGGGCGTAGCCAGTGTGTGACACATCTGGCCTGTGGGCCAGGAGTTTGACAACCCTGGGCTAGACATACCTAGCTTTCTCAACCATTCATCATATGATTTAGCCCCCAGATCCTTTATCAACTTTGATACTGAAACACTTTCTAGGGTCTCAGCATTTTTTGTATTGTGATGACCAGAACTGTGTACAGTATTAGAAGTTTGGCCTCACTAGTGCATTATAAAGCAGCATTATCACTTTTTGTGATATTGATATTATTCCTATGTCCAGAACTGCATTGGTTTTTTGGGCTGCTGCAGCACATTGCTGGCTCATACTCCAGGGGTGGTCCACTAGGACATTTAGATCTCTCTCACAGTTACTACCATTGAGCCAGGTACTATCTATTTTGTATCTATGCATTTGGGTTTCCTGTCTAAATGCAGTACCTTACTTTTTTCACCACTAAAATGCATCTTGTTGGTTAGAGTCCAATACTCAAGTCTGTCAAGATTCTTCTGAATCTTCAGTGTGAACTAGATAACTAGAATTTTACAGAATAGTCCACGAGTAATTTCTTGGTAATTAAGCAAATCAGAACTCTGAGACTGGAATTTTCCTCAAAGGACTTCCTTATTGGATACATCATATTGGCATGGACAAATGTAAAACCAACTCTAAATCTTTCCCACAGTTTCAGTATAATTAAAATAGGAAATAACTACGTCTCCAATTGTCACAGGTCACATTGGCCAATTAGGTTAATTGGCAGGTTCTCCAGACACTCCTTCCCCATTTTATCCATCACCTGTTGGTTCTCAAGAGAAAGCTCTGTGTTGTGCCTAGCAATGCATTCCATCCTGCTTCCCCCCTCCCCACACTGTGTGGCAACTGAGAAACAGATAAATGGCCCCTGCCAGGTTTGCTTCGAAGTTGACATTCTCTTTATATACTCCCAGCACTTCTTACATATAAAGTTGCTGTATTACAGATAATAATATTCTTGATCCAACAAGAGAGTTTTCTATTAGAGGAAACCGGAAACATCGCAGCGAGACTGGCTGGAAAAATAGCAGGCTCCATCGAGGTCCATGAATATCCAGCTGGACAAACTGCTGTCAGGGGGTCTTCGGACTGGAACTGTCCTGTAGGGATGATGAAGAAGGAGAGGTGCCTCAGATGACCAAGAGGAACAGGCAAGTTCCTTGAAAGGTCAGAGGCTGCTCTTCAAACTGGCGGTGGGGGTGGTGGCCATTAAAAAATTACTGCTCTGAAGCTGGGGCAACCAGAATAAGATTTTTGTGCAGGAGCAGTGTTTGAATGGAGTGCTGGTACCGGGTGAGTGATTGACCAACTCATAGGTAAAAAAGGAAATTTATATATAAAAAAAAACCTTCAAAGGTGTCGCAGAGCGGAAATGAGCATCTAATTGGCACTTTGGAATTTTAATGGAGGGAGA